AAGGTCAGTTCACATGCAAGATCATATATATAAAGGTAAACAAGCAAGTGCAGGTATAGAAAGAATACAGTACAAACAAGGTCAAGAAGTGAGCAAGTGAGGCCAAGTAGGCACAAGACCTAGCATAGCACAGAAACGCTGATGATCACAAGGCGGAAGGGACTTGGTAAAGATATCAGCAGTATTGGCCTCAGAGGCCACGTACGCAAGACGCAGCTGACCACGCTGCTGCAGCTCACGAGCCAGGAAGTAGCGAAGAGCAATGTGCTTCGTTCTGTGCTCCAGTCTGTGCTCTCGACACAAGGCCAGCATGGCCTTGTTGTCTACGTACAGAACTGGAGGAGAACGAGGCGGCTCTCCTAGGTCAGTCAGCAGGTGAGCCAGCGTAGCTCCTGTGCAGCCATGGCCCCCGTGTAGATCTCAGCCTCACAGCTGGAGGTGAGAACAGAAGATGAGCGGGTAGACTGCCACGAAAAAGGAGCCAGAGCCAAGGCTGAAGGTGTAACCCTGTGACGACCGCTGTGTCGGCTGGTCGTCAGCCCAAGAAGCGTCTGCGTGACCTGTGAGGACCACTCGACGTCGCCCTCGAAGCACTAGCCCTATGCCCGACGTACTGCACACGTAGCGCAACACCCTCTTCGTTGCAGCCATGTGCTCTGGTCGGTGTCTCCCAGGAGCAACATAGCATGCCAAGATGCTAAGAGGGTATGCAAGGTCAGGTCGTGTACAGGTCATCAGGTACATGAGGCAGCCAACAAGCTCTGGGTACGGGCCACTCGGCTCTACGGACTCATCCGAAGGCAGAGCTGAGAGCGAGTGGCGAGTAGACAGAGGAGTGGCCTGAGGCGAGGAGTACGTGAAGTCGAAGCGCTGAAGGACCTGCTGCACCATGTGTGACTGAGTCAGGGTAATGGTGCGCTGTGCTCTGTCTCGGGTGTTCTGCAAGCCAAGGTAGCTACGCAGTTCACCCACGTCTGAGCACGTGTGTCTCTTCTGCAGCTCGGACTTCATGTGGGCGAGTCCAGCAGTGTCAGCAGTGGCAAAGACCAAGTCGTCGACGTACACGAAGATGTAGAACGGCCGCAAAGAGGTGTCGGTTCGCAGAAACAGTGACGGGTCGGCTGTAGAAGGAGCAAACCCAAGAGCCGCAAGTGTAGTCCTCAGTGTGTCGTGCCACTCACGGGGCGCCAGAGGCTCCACTGGGTTTAGGAGGAAACGACCCAGTAAAGCCAGGTGGGCGGCGCAGCCAGATCTCCTCGTGCAGGCTGCCCTGCAGGAAAGCTGTGCTGAAGTCAAGAGAGTGAAGCTCGTAGTCGCGCTGAGCGGCTATGTGCAACAGCACCCGAAGAGTGGTCATCTTCGGGGTGGGAGAGAAGGTCTGAAAGTAGTCAACTCTCTGCCGCTGACTGAAGCCTGGAGCCACGTAACGCGCCTTGAAGACAGGCGGAGAACCCGGCGGCCGCTTCACCCTGAAAATCCACATGCCACAAGTCGACAAGCTTAGCCACTAAGGCAGATGCAGCAGTGGACTCAAAGGAAGGGTCAGTGACAGCAGTAGCCAGGAGACGCGTGACAGGAGGACTGGCAGCACGAAGAGAGTCAGACTCAGGGTCAGGAAGGATAGGAAGAGAGGACTCTGGAGGAGACGGCAACGGGACATGCAGAGGAGCAATGGAAGGACGCAATGCCATCTGGTGTGTGCCTGGAACCGCAGGAGGACGCGGAACACGAGGACTAGTTCAAGCAGTGCGACAGGCAACACAGGACGAGACGCAAGCTCAAGACGCTCAGCAAGACCTCCAGTAGGACCAGTGTAGGGAGAAGGAGCAGGAAGAGGGGAGGCGGGCAGTAACTGTGACTGCAACTGGACGGGCATTGGACACTCTAAGGGAGGATCAGGACCAGTAGAGGGCGGGAGACCAAGAACCTGCTCAAGGAGCGGAACGAAGTACGGTCTCGGCCACGTAGTGCCTCCAGAACCAGCAAGGACGGCACCAGTACCCCCAGCAGCAGCACCAGCGCCAGCAGCACCTTTAGCTCCAACAGTGTCAGCTCCAGCACCCTCAGACGCACCAGCGCCAGCAGAAACACCAGCGCCAACACCCCCAGTAGCTCCAGCTCCAGCAGCTCGAGTAGTACCTGCTCCAGCAGGACCAACTCCAGTAGCTCCAGCAGCACCCCGAGTCCCAGCAGCTCCAGTACCCCCAGTAGAAGCACCTCGGGAACCATCAGCAACAGTAGTGCCTCCAGCTCCAGCAGCACGACTCCAGTGCCGGGCAAACCAGTCGCACAGCTCCTGCGGAGAGAGTGGCTCCCGCCTCGACGAAGCACCGCCGGCGGCCACACGAGCAGACCCAACGCCCCCAGGCTACGCACCCCCAGGCTCCGAACCCCTAGGCTCCTCACCCCCAGACGCAGCACCCCCAGGCTCAACACCCCCAGTCTCAGCACCCCCAGGCTCAGCAGCCCCAGACTCAGCACCCGCAGGCTCAGCACCTCCTGACCCGGCACCCGCAGGCTCAGCGCCTCTAGCAGCACCAGAGTCAACAGCTACCTCGACAGGCTCGACTGCGTCTACATGGGACACACCTGACTGGGCAGGACCCTGAGGGGGGAGGGGGTCTAACGGGGGAGGACCAGGCACAAGGAAGATTGGCGGCGGGGAAAGGGGCGCAGCGTGGTAGGGGAAGTGACGGTAGTAAGGCACCGACTCGTCAAAGGTTACGTCCTGGGAGGACAGAACACGGCGCGAGGTGGGGTGGTAAAACTGCCAACCAGGTGCATCAGGGAGGAAGCCAAGGAAGACGCAGGGAACAGCACGGGGGGACAGCTTGTCCGCAGACAAGTCGCGGACAAACGCCCGAGATCCCCAGACCCGAAACGCAGACGCATCTCCAACCTTCCCCGTCCACCGCAAGGTGGGGGAGGTCTCTGGCAAGGAGACGCGGGGCTGAAGGTTGAGCTGATGCGCCGCGTACTGAACCGCAAACGGCCACAGAAAATGGGGGGCAGCTGCATGGATCATGGACGTACGAGCGACGTCTATGACCATGCCAATGCGGCGCTCAGCAATCCCATTTTGCTGTGGAGAGGCCGGAAGCGTGAAGGTCTGGCGGATGCCCTGTGCCCGACAGAAGGCTCTTAGACGAGCAGAGGAAAACTCCCCGCCTCTGTCAGAGTGCAGACGCAGAACAGGAAAGTCAGAGCTGAAACTATCTCTGAGCTGGAGACGAGCTGCGCGGATCCAGTCGATCAACACCTCAGTGACGTCACCCTTGCTGCGCAAGGGGAAGACTGTGGTGTAACGCGAGTAGTCGTCAACCACCAACGAGAAGTAACGCTCGTGACCCTGGCCATAGACGCGGGCGGGGCCTCACACGTCCATGTGGAGAGTCTGCAGCGGAGCCTCTGTCGGAGGAAACTCGGAGGAGTGAGGGGCGGCGCGCTGTCGCCCCTGGACGTAGGGGACGCAGGTAGGGGCAGGCCCCGGAGGTAGGGGAGGGAGAGATCGGGGGAGACCAGAGACAAGGACACAGGAGGCCATGCCTCGAAGACGAGGCAGGGAGGGGTGACCAAGGCGGTGGTGCCAAAGGAGAGTCTGGTGGGACAGGAGACGACACGAGCAGGGAGCAGACTCAGGACCAGACTTGGACGCTGCAGCAAACACCTGACTCGACGCAGCTACCTGGCCAGACTCAGCAGCCGGAGGAGACTCAGTAGTAAGGGTGTACAGGCTCGACCCTAGCCGACGGGTGAACGTGGCCAAGTGTCCGCCTGTCCAAGCACACGTGCAGTGGGTCACCCGCTGACTCGCAGGAGCGAACTGGTCAACCCCCCTATCTTGTAGGTCCGCTCCACTCACCAAGTTCGTAGAGAACGAGAGGAGGTAGAGACCTGACAGGGTGCCAGAGGGGGCTGCCGGGCACGGTAAGACAGTGGAGAAGCTAGCAAGGACAGGATCCTTAGAGGGGTCCGCCAGGGAGAGTGCAGCGGGCCAACTGAGCGGCGCAAGACTGGTGCGGTCTCGAAAGAAGGAGCGGGACGCACCCGAGCCAAGGGTGAAAGTGTGTAAGGCCTGAGCCGACGTAGTACCTGAGAGAGCAGACTCACCAGCACCTGGGGCAGCAGACGCACTAGCACCTGGGGCAGCAGAGGCACTAGCACCTAGAGCAGTGGCCTCAATGCCCAGGTCAGGCGGTACACACAGATAACAGTCACCCGCAACACTATCATCAACAACATACATGGCAGCAAGAATAGCATCAAAATCAAGATCAAAGATAGCAACCCAAGACAACTCTCCCCAGCAAGGGATCTCAGAGGCCCCAGGGAACTGGTGACGCCACGCGTCCGTCAGGCGGCCGAAGTAGCGCTGGGTGGAGTGCGGGCCCCCGCACTGCTCACCAGCGCGGTCGCCGGTGCGGAGAACGTAGGTGCAGGGACCCGTACCCCCACCGCGCTGACGCGCAGCGTACCATTAACGAAGCTGCTGAGGGGACAGGGTCTCACGACTGCTCTGCTGCTGCTGGCGCGTACCACCACCGGAGCCACTCCTCTGTGCAGAGCCGCGACCAGGTCCACTGCTGCCGCCGCCGCCTCCGCCACCTCCGCCGCCGCCGCCTCCGCCACCTCTGCCGCCTCCGCACCGGTAGGAACAGCAGCGGTTCGACAGTAGGGCGGCTCGACGCCTCGGCAACCCGGCGGCAGGGCGGCTCGGCTGCTGGGCGGCTCGGCTGCTGGGCGGCTCGGCGGCTCGGCTAGTGGGCGGCTCGGATGCTCGGCAGCTCGGCAGGTGGGCGGCTCGGCAGCTGGGCGGCTCGGCTGCTCGGCAGGTGGGCGGCTCGGCTGCTGGGCGGCTCGGCTGCTGGGCGGCTCGGCAGCTGGGCAGCTCGGCGGCTTGGCTAGTGGGCAGCTCGGCTGCTGGGCCGTTCGGCGGCTCGGTCGCTGGGCGGTAGAGGCGGCGACGTGGCCGCGAGGGGAGGGTGACGGGGCCGCAGGTGATGGCGACGGGGCCGCAGGTGGCGGCGACGGGGCCGCAGGTGGCGGCGACGGGGCCGCACGTGGCGGCGGGGCCGCAGGTGGCGGCTGCGTGGCCGCAGTTGGCGGCGACGGGGTCGCAGGTGGCGGCGACGAGGCCGCTGGTGGCGTCAACGGGGCCGCAGGTGGTGGTGACGGGGCCGCAGGTGACGGCGACGGGGCCGCAGGCGGCGGAGACGGGGCCGCAGGTGGCGGCGACGAGGTCCCAGAGGGGCCGCAGAGGGGCCGCAAGGGGCCTAGACAGGGCCGCAGAGGGGCCGCAAGGGGCCTAGACGGGGCCGAAGAGGGGCCGCAAGGGGCTTGAACGGGGCGGCGACAGGGCCGTAGGGGGCCGGAAAGGGCGCCGCGAGGGGCCGAAAAGGGGCCGCGCGAGGGCCGTAAGGGCGGCGTGAGGGGCGGTAAGGGGCCGTAAGGGTAGCGCGAGGGGCCGTAAGGGGCCGTAAGGGCGGCACAAGGGGCTGTAGAGGGCGGCGCAAGGGTCCGTAAGGGCGGCGTAAGGGGCCATGAGAGGGGCCACTAAGGGCGGCTCGAATGTAGGGAGGACAACCAGAGTGCGACTCGAGCAGGAGTGAAGCGCGCTCCGGGCAGGAAAAAAAAATGATCATGGTGGGCCCTAGGTAGCGTTCCCACTAGGGAACCTGCTCGATACCATGATAAGAAACGAGGAATGAGTGCATTGAGTAGAATGAGGAGTACAAGTAGTAAACCCTAAAGTGTTGTACCCCATATGAACTGCCCCACTACAGCCTACACGGACTATAGCATATATGCCTGACACTGAGGTGTTGATCGACTGGATCCGCGCAGCTCGTCTCCAGCTCAGAGAGGGTTTCGGCTCGGACTTTCCTGTTCTGCGTCTGCACTCTGACAGAGGCGGGGAGTTTTCCTCTACCCGTCTGAGAGCCTTCTGTCGTGCACAGGGCATCCGCCAGACCTTCACGCTTCCGGCCTCTCCACAGCAAAATGGGATTGCTGAGCGCCGCATTGGCATGGTCATGGACGTCGCTCGTACGTCCATGATGCATGCGGCTGCCCCCCATTTTCTGTGGCCGTTTGCGGTTCAGTACGCGGCGCATCAGCTCAACCTTCAGCCCCGGGTCTCCTTGCCATAGACCTCCCCCACCTTGCGGTGGACGGGGAAGGTTGGCGATGCATCTGCGTTTCGGGTCTGGGGATCTCGGGCGTTTGTCCGCGACTTGTCTGCGGACAAGCTGTCCCCCCGTGCTGTTCCCTGCGTCTTCCTTGGCTTCCCCCCTGATGCACCTGGTTGGCAGTTTTACCACCCCACCTCGCGCCGTGTTCTGTCCTCCCAGGACGTCACCTTTGACGAGTCGGTAGTCTTCCCCTACCGCACTGCGCCCCTTCCCCCGCCCCCGCTCTTCCTTGTGCCAGGTCCTCCCCCGGTAGACCCCCTCCCCCCTCAGGGTCCTGCCCTGTCAGGTGTGTCCCAGGTAGACGTAGTCAAGCCTGTCGAGATAGAAGTTGACTCTGGTGCTATTAGAGCTGCTGAGCCTGCGGGTGCCGGGTCTGGCGGTGCTGAGTCTGGGGGTGCTGAGCCTGGGGGTGCTGAGTCTGGGGGTGCTGAGCCTGGGGGTGCTGAGTCTGGAGGTGCTGAGCCTGGGGGTGCTGAGTCAGGGGGTGCTGAGCCTGGGGGTGCGGAGCGTGGGGGCGCTGGGTCTGCTCGTGTGGCCGCCGGCGGTGCTTCGTCGAGGCAGGAGCCACTCTCTCCACAGGAGCTGCGCGGGTGGTTTGCCCAGCGCTGGAGCCGTGCTGCTGGAGCTGGAGGTACTACTGTTGCTGCTGGTCCCGGAGGTGCTCGTCCTGGAGGTACTGGAGTTGCTGGGACTGAGGGTGCTGCTGGGGCTGCTGGAGTTGGTCCTGCTGGAGCTGCTGGCGGTACTAGAGCTGCCGGTCATGCTGGAGTTGGTGCTGCTGGAGCTACTGGAGCTGGAGCTGCTGGGGGTGTTGGCGCTGATGTTTTTGTTGGCGCTGTTGGAGCTGGAGGTGCTGCTGGCGCTAGTGCTACCGCTAGAGGTACTGGTGCTGTCCCTGTTGGTTCTGGAGGTGCTGCGCGGCCGAGGCCGTACTTCGTTCCGCTCCTTGAGCAGGCTCTTGGTCTTCCGCCTTCTACTGGTCCTGCCCCTCCCTTAGCGTGTCCACCGCCTGTCCAGTCGCAGTCATAGTTACAGCCCGCCTCCCCCCTACCTGCTCCTTCTCCCTACACTGGTCCTACTGGAGGTCTTGCTGAGCGTCATGAGCCTGCGTCTCGTCCTGCGTCGCCTGTTCGTGGTGCTCGCACTGTCAGAATATTATCTTATTGTTCTAGCCTGTAGTGGGGTGCTCTATAGCGAGTACAACCCTTCTAGGGTTTGCTATTTGTATCCTCATTCTTGCTAGTTCAATGCTCTTTCTTCCTTCTAATTTTGACACGCACTAGTGGTCGTACTGCGCGTCCGCGTCCTCCTGTGGTCCCAGACACACACCGGACCTTCTCTCCCACCCCGAAGATAACCACTCTTCGGGTGCTGCTGCACATAGCTGCTCAGCGCAACTACGAGCTTCACTCTCTTGACTTCAGCACATCTTTCCTGCAGGGCAGCCTGCACGAGGAGATCTGGCTGCGCCGCCCACCTGGCTTCACTGGGTCGTTTCCTCCTAGTACCCAGTGGAGCCTCCGGCGGCCAGTCTACGGTCTCCGCCAGGCGCCCCGTGAGTGGCACGACACACTGAGGACTAAACTTGCGGCTCCTGGGTTTGCTCCTTCTAATGCCGACCCATCGCTGTTTCTGCGCACTGACACCTCTTTGCCGCCGTTCTACATCCTCGTGTACGTCAACGACTTGGTCTTTGCCACTGCTGACACTGCTGGACTCGCCCACGTGAAGTTGGAGCTCCAGAAGGGACACACGTGCACAAACGTGGGTGAACTGCGCAGCTACCTTGGCTTGCAGATCACCCGGGACAGAGCACAGCGCACCATTACCCTGACTCAGTCACACATGGTGCAGCAGGTCCTTCAGCGCTTCGACTTCACGTACTCCTCGCCTCAGGCCACTCCTCTGCCTACTCGCCACTCGCTCTCAGCTCTGCCTTCGGATGAGTCCGTAGAGCCGAGTGGCCCGTACCCAGAGCTTGATGGCTGCCTCATGTACCTGATTACCTGCACTCGACCTGACCTTGCATACCCTCTTAGCATCTTGGCACGCTATATTGCTCCTGGGAGACACCGACCAGAGCACATGGCTGCAGCGAAGAGGGTGTTGCGCTACTTGTGCAGTACGTCGGGCATGGGGCTAGTGCTTGGAGGGCGACGTCGAGTGGAACTCACCGGTCTCGCTGACGCTTCTTGGGCTGAAGACCAGGCTACGCAGCGGTCCTCACAGGGTTACACCTTCGGCCTTGGCTGTGGCTCTGTTTCGTGGCGGTCTACCCGCTCTTCTTCTATTCTCGGCTCCAGCTGTGAGGCTAAGATCTACGCGGGGGCCATGGCTGCACAGGAGCTACGCTGGCTCACCTATCTGCTGACTGACCTAGGAGAGCCGCCTCGTTCTCCTCCAGTTCTTTACGTAGACAACAAGGCCATGCTGGCCTTGTGTCGAGAGCACAGACTGGAGCACAGAACGAAGCACATTGCTCTTCGCTACTTCCTTGCTCGTGAGCTGCAGGAGTGTGGTCAGCTGCGCCTTGCTTTCGTGGCCTCTGAGGTTAACACTGCTGATATCTTTACCAAGGCACTTCCGCCTTGTGATCATCAGTGCTTCCGTACGATGCTAGGTCTTGTGCCTACTTGGCCTCACTTGCTCACTTCTTGACCTTGCTTGTACTGTGATCTTTCTATACCTGCACTTGCTTGTTTACCTTTATATATGATCTTGCATGTGAACTGGCCTTTTGGCCTTGCTCTTGTGCTCGGATTGTGTGAGGACTTTGTGATCCACCCTGAGCTTGCCTTGCTTTGCTCGATTGGTCTTGTGACCTCTTGTTCTCCCCCACTTTGCCTATGGGGGATTGTCAAACTCATATGATATAGCTTGTCTAGGCTATAGTGGGGTAGACACTATGGGGTACAGTTTCCTAGGGTTTCCTACTTGTACCCAACTTTGTGCTAGTTCATTCATTCCTCATTCTTCACACCTTGTGCATAGCGAATGTAAATGACAAGATTTATTAAAAGGATACATTACACACAATAACTAGATCTAACTATCCATGTACTCTAAAGGGTCCATTCTCTTATTCCAACAATTTTTTCGGGCAAATCTACAGTAACTCTGAACATTACTCTTCTCTTGTTATCGAGTTGCTGCATGTAACTGAATGGACAGTTATCCCTGTTTCCATTCCTCGCTGGTGAGACATTCGGTCTAGATGGTCAACAGTCGTGACAGTTGACCTTGGGGATTGCTGACCTTCCTGCCCTTGTTACAGGCTAATCTGATACTTCTGTTGATGCTGCTTTGATATAGACGGGTGCGACACAGCTGCACCTACGAGGATGGTCAAGTCGATTCCCTCCGTACTCCAACACCCCCCTTCATTCCTGGAGGTGCGCTACGTGGCTCTTTAGAACAACTCCGTACAGGTCCGCGCAGTACTGGAACTTCTGACGTGGCAGTTTCTTCGTCAAGAATTTTGCTGCCATAGTGCTAGTTGGGCAATAGGTGAGTTGGACCTTTCCTTTGTCAATTTCGTCCTTGACAAAAACGTAACGCAGGGTGATATGTTTCGTGTGTTTAACGAAGCAGGGTTTGATGGCGATCTTGATTGCGCTCTAGTTGTTGCATAGGAACTTGAATGACCCATTGATCGCTGTTTTTGTTTCATGCAGGAGCTTGGGGAGAGTCACGACGTATTTTGCGGCAGAGATGTGAATCGTGTCGGCTGTCTGAGTGACGTTGAGGCCGAGGAATTGGTGTCAAACTCATATGCTATAGTCTGTGTAGACTGTAGTGGGGTAGACAATATGGGGTACAACACTTTTAGGTTTTCCTACTTGTACCCACCTGCTTGCTAGTTCATTCATCCTCGTTCTCTCACATGGTATAGAGCAGGTTCCCTAGTGGGAACGTTTCCTAGAGCCCACCGAATATCGATTTTTTTTTCCTGCCCGGAGCGCGCTTCACCCCTGCCCTAAGTGGCCCGTCGCGCTCCCCTACGGCCCCGTAGCGCCCCCTCTTATGGCCTCTTACGGCCCCTCTCACAGCCCTTCGCGGCCCCTTCAGGGCCTTCGTGGCCCCTTCGCGACCTCCCTTCGCGGCCCCTTCGTGGCACCTTCGTGGCCCCTTCACGGCCCCTCTCACGGCCCTTCGCGGCCCCTTCAAACCCCTCGTGGCCCCTTCGCGGCCTCCCTTCGCGGCCCCTTCGTGGCACCTTCGTGGCCCCTTCACGGCCCCTACCCGGCCCCTTCACGGCCCCTTCACGGCCCCTTCGCGGCCCCTTTGCGGCCCCTTCACGGCCCCTTCACGGCCCCCTCGCGGCCCCCCTCGCGGCTCCCTTCGCGGCCCCTTCGCGTCCCCGCCCCGCAGCCCGTAGAGACCCCGCCCCGTCGCCATTCGCGGCCCCTTCCCGGCCCCGCCCAGCTGCCCGTAGCGACCCCGCCCCGTCGCCCTTCACGGCCCCGCCACGTCGCCCCCGCCTCGTCGCGTCGCCCCGGCGGGACCCGCGAGGCGCGGCTCCTGTGCTCGTGACGCCCCTACGGGACCCGCGTGGCGTCACCGCTGCCCGCCGCGACGCCCTGCCCTAACCCTCGCCCTGGAGCAGCCGCCACTGCAGCAGCCGCCCCTGGAGCAGCTGCCACTGCAGCAGCCGCCCCTGGAGCAGCCACACCCGCAACAGCCGCCCCTGAAGTAGCCGCCCCTGCAGCAGCCGCCTGTGGAGCAGCCGCCACTGCAGCAGCCGCCCTTGGAGCAGTCGCCACTGCAGCAGACGCCCCTGGAGCACCCGCCCCTGCAGCAGCCGCCCCTGGAGCAGCCACCACTGCAGCAGCCGCCCCTGGAGCAGCCTCCCCTGCAGCAGCCGCCCCTGGAGCAGCCGCCCCTGCAGCAGCCGCCCCTGGAGCAGCCTCCCCTGTAGTAGCCGCCCCTGGAGCAGCCGCCCCTGAAGCAGCCGCCCCAGGAGCAGCCACCACTGCAGCAGCGGCCCCTGGAGCAGCCGCCACTGCAGCAGCCGCCCCTGGAGCAGCCGGCCCTGCAGCAGCCGCCCCTGGAGCAGCCACCAATGCAGCAGCCGCCTCTGGAGCAGCCTCCCCTGCAGCAGCCGCCCCTGGAGCAGCCGCCACTGCAGCAGCCGCCCCTGGAGCAGCCTCCCCTGCAGCAGCCGCCCGTGGAGCAGCCGCCCCTGAAGCACCCGCCCCAGGAGCAACCGCCACTGCAGCAGCCGCCCCTGGAGCAGCCACCTCTGCAGTAGCCACCCCTGGAGCAGCGGCCCCTGCAGCAGCCGCCCCTGGAGCAGCCACC